AAGAGATTGGGGTGAAGGGTCAGCGAGTATTTATAGGCAGGGAAGAGAGACCCCTGGTGAAAGGGTTAAAGAACTAAAGGAGGAGACAAAATAAATTCCTTATCTTGTTTCGTTAAATATAAACGTGTGTTTTTCTCGTCATTTTCCTCAATACTTCAACCTTACTATTTTGGGACGGTATTCTAGACGTCGGCGCGCGGAGCCGGAAGAAATTAAGGTCTGTTTTTATGATATGAACTGTGGATGTCGAAGTGTCGTTTGGCTTAAAGAATTAGAGTTTCGAGAGGCTACGACACTGGAAAAGGAAAAACAAAATTTGGCGGATTTCAGCATTCGACCACACCGCCGACAACGAAAAAGAAAGAAAATTAAAAGCCAACCACGCTGCCAACAACGAAAAGGAAGCGGAAAGAAAAACAAGTTGAAAGAAAGCAGAAAGAAGATTCAGATATTAGCCTTGATTTGAAGAAAAACAAATTTATCTCAATACTGATTTTAGTTTAAAAACTGAATTATTGTACAAGTTACCCAGAGAAGCGAGTGAATTTGTCATCCTTCTCAAAGATTTTCGACTGTTGAATGTATAAAAGTGAATATCTTTGGAAAAACAACTATAATTGTTTTTAGCTTTTAATAACGTATCATGTAGCAATTTTATAACTTGTTTTCTTGCCTAATTATAAGGCGCACAAAGGAGATTTTTATGCAAACTTGTATTGTAAACGTGCAATCTGTTTTATTGTTTCTGTGCCATTTAATAAATGTAACTTTATTTCCAATTTCACAGAGTAAAAGTTTTGTTTTTGTTTATGCTTTCCACATTACCCGAACAAGAGAAGTGACGTACTCTTTTCTCCTCCTCTCCCTATAAAATCCTTTTATTCAACCGATAGTAACACTGACAGCTCAGTCAATGAATGCTGAATGTTTCCTTATAAGGAAATGGTTAATATTACCAATACCATAAGTTGAATCTTCTTAGCTTGTTTTGCCAAATTTTAATTTATATCATTTTAAAAGTTTAAAAGTGAGTCGCCTTTTGAGATTCCATAGGACTTCTGAAATATGAGCGGTGTGTAGCACAATGTGAGTGGATGTGTTGCCGCCGTAATGTACGCGTGGATTTGTTATCAATTGGGGTCGTGTTGAATAGAATGCCCACGTGTGTTTGAGAAGAATCGCCGATATTTGTTGAAGAGATTGAGAAGATTGAGAAGCTAGCTTAATTCCCAAAAATGTGCGTAGTTCAGTGAGTCGAATTTGTATAGGTGATGTTGAGTTGCAATGTCATGGCATAGTTGAAAATTTGCTCATTAGTGATTAAGTAAATCTTTACAGCAAATTTTATGTGAAAGATGCGTTGAAAATGTTGTTCGAGACAGTGAATCGTCCGAAGGTTTGAAGCATGGTAAGGAAGCAGTGACGTGAAAATGTCGCCACGTGGCGTAGGAAAAATGAATGCGCGCGCTTTTGAGTTTCAGGATGGAACAAGATGCAAATGCTATGACCAGTAGCATGTAGTGAAAGAATGCGGAATTTGCAATATTAGAAGCGACGAATTACGTGCATGCAAATCCTCAGTGATGTCGCATCGTATGTAATGGAACCAGAGAAAAATGTACGTTCATTCCAGTGAAACTTGAGTGTTGCTTCCATGTCAGAATAGAAAAAACCGTAGAAGGTTGTTTAAAAATTCAGGCTTGTTGTCACCGATATTTTAAAATAATTAATTTTCGTCACATTTAGTGGTTATGTTATTGCTCTGAAAGAAAAAGGTGTACAGCGTGCGTATTAAGATATGTTGAAGAGTTTCCTTAGCGTCTCTGTGAATTGCGTATCAGACAATTGAGTTGTGCGACTTCTTTTAGACTTGTTTTAAAGTTTCAGAGTGAGGTCGTCTGACGGCAATGAATGAAAAGAAACTCGAGGGAGTTTACACGTGTTGAGTTTATATATCTGCCTGTATCACGCGATAGGATCAGAATTGACTTGGCGCCTAAATTGACTCTGCACGTGAGAGCGATCTGATTGGTTGAAACTGACCAATCAGCAAGTTGGATGTACTGTGATTGACCAATGGTTTCTCGTTGATATTTTGTATGAAAGTAGGATGTTACTTGTCGGAGTTACCTCCTACTTCGATCCTTAAACCGGCAGAAGAACAGGTCATTTCGACCTTGACTTCTCATTCATGCCCCCTATACACTGTTAACCTGTGAGAGAGACTAGCAAATCCCCTTTTTAGTTAAGTTATATTACAAACCTAGTTGTAATATACTGCTAGTCATTTTTAGGCCATAGTTCTCTTTAGCTAACCTCGTCGTATTTTATTATAGAGACTTTACTGTTAGCTTATCCAATTTCACTTGCCGGTCTCTCTTATCACAAGACTTCTCACTAAATCCAGGAGGCGGTCGGTGACTGAAACGGTCGGATACGCAGGCCCCTTGGCCAGGGACGTCGATCAAAGGGCTGTGTATTAAGTTACGCTCCCATTTTTTTTGTCTGCCAACTTGACGATAGTTGGAAACTTTCCTTTCTCTCTCTCTCCTTCGCCTACTACTTCTTGGCTCCTGTTCAACTTTCGGCATTCCGTCCCTACTGGCTGCCTGCACGTCGTCCTTAAACTTTCCCGTACACTATGTTAGTAATTAATACGGGAGGTTACTAATATTGGACTCGACTGGCAAACACGCAACGCCTGCACTGGACCTATGACATGCCCGAACAACGCCAGCTCTTCCTTCCTTCCCAACACGTCAAGTTGGCACCCCGGCAACGACCAACAACCATCAAGTTGGCAACCCAACAACAATCAACTTCAACAACCAACAGCGATGATCCTGGCAACAACCCACATCAGCTCCAATCCCAACAACCAACAACGATGATCCTGGCAACTACCAACACCAACCTCGACCATCAATGCCAGAACTTCTGTATCTCCACCGTTTCCGACCACTTTATTTCCTTTTCTTTTCTAGAATAAATTTCCATATATCACACATATCCTCGTTCTGTCGTCCATGTTGTTTCACCGTCAGATTTAACGTCTTCAAAAATGTTAGCGAGCCTCTTGTGACCTCGTTCACCCTTGTGTGATACGGGGCCGCTCGGGGGGTCCGCTACATACTTACCAGATAGGCGTGCAAAGGCGTTTTTTCTCTATTAGCATAGTAATATTTATCCAAAATTCTGTTATTTTTACTAATTTTCTTTGAAACTAATATCTAAGACAGAGATTTGTTTTTTTTAAGAGATTTTATATAAAGTGACAAATTTTTTTTAGTCAGCATTTTTTAATTGAAATGGCCGATCGATAAATTGCCTTATCTTTCAAACAGAACCAAAATTTTGCTAAAAAGGAGACGTTTAAAATATTTCAAATGTGTTTTAAAGATTTCTTAACACAATTTTAGCGGTACCTAGTTCTTTATGTAAAAGAAATATTTTTGTAAATGAAAAAAATTTTTAAAATATGTTTTCATACGTAGATATTAGCCACGTAAGAAAGCACAATTTCAAAGTTGTCATTTGTAAACAAATATCTAAGTTCCGATAATTCTGTAAGATCAGGGATTGATTTTAGTTCGATAATGCTGGAGGCACGGTAGTGTATTGGATAATTGTTCGGATTGGGGAATCGGAGAGCCGAGTTTGAATTCCAGTCGAATCCATTACTTTCACTTACGTGCTAATAATTTTAAAAAGGTATGAATCCTTCTTCTCCCCCCCCCCCAGCTATGGGTAAATAGCAGGACAGATCGGGTTCTCGGCAGGATGGCAACTGGTCTACCGCAGAAAGAAATGGCAAACTACTGCGGAAAAAATCTGCCTCGTCAGTCATGTATCGAAAGATACATGATCGCCTAAGCGTATATCACGCATGACACAACTGAATGTTAATCTATCTACACGAGGTGACAAATTCCCTATATTTTACGAGTGAACCTTTACCGTTGCCAGTAAGGGTTCCGGTAACTGAGGCATTGTTAATGTCCCTATGCTGTAAGTGGAGCTATGATTCTCTTCACTTTAGATGGGAGAAGATGCTTAGCCCCGGGTATTCCAACCCTACGGCAGCACCTTCCTCATCGCACTTGGGTCGGTGTACTGATGCCAGCGTGACAGTGGTCGTGGGGGCTGGGTAAAAAAAAAAACAAACAATTTTATCCTTGTCCCATGTGCATAAGTATGTGTATGACACTCTCTACGTTAACGGTTAAATTAAAACGACCCTGTGTTACAATCCTTCCTTGGTAGAGAGGCCGGGTCAATACCTGGCATTTATTTGATTTTATCCAGTGTTAAAACTTAAAAATTCTTTTCGTACTTGCATACTAGTTAAAAAATCTGCTTGCATTGTAAAATATGTAAAAGTTTAAATAAAAATGTGTGTTGAAATAATTCTTTCTTCGTATTGATTATTGAAAGTACTTAAAAGTAAATCTCTTTAAGTTGGAGTTCGAAGAAGAAAATATTTTTAAGTCGCGAAGAATTAAGACTGGGTATCATCCCTACTGTAACTTTTCTTAACCCATACAGCCTTAGTTATATTAGTAAAAATCCGATCTTCTACTTCCTAATGTCCACCGTCTAAAATCTAAAAAATATTGTAATGTAAAAAATCAATACCTTGGCAGTCCTAAATTTTCTTTCATTTGACAGGAAGTGTTTGTTGAATTATAACATGCTTATTTTATCATAGTTATGTTAAATACTCAGAGTCTAAACAGTTATTCTAGTTACTAGAATCTAGTACAATTGAGGTATGTAAAAATAGTATTTATTTATTTAAAATTGTGTATTTACTCAACACACAATTTTTATCAGTACCATAGCTTTCAATAAAAGGTCGAATAGAAAACATTCAAGGCTAGCAGCAGCAGCAGCTTCTCATGTGAGGATATAAAATAAATTCAACAAAGGCAAGATCAGTTTCAGTCTGGTGGTGTGCGTGATAGCATTTTGAACCAATCACTTGTACAAGCAAAACAGTTATGTCTTCGAAAAGGTAAGTTCACGATTCAAGATCGTCAGAAATAATTCATTCATTATTACAGTACACTCATTCTACACTACGGTGAGTATATTTTTTTTTCTTTGCTGATTCTCATCTTTTCCCAGCAAAAAATTAAAAAAACACATCTCGCCTAAAAAACCCCAGAACTTTTGTTGGTAACCTGAATTATTTGTTTTTTCGGTATGGGTTGGGGGAAGAAAAAATTAATTTCTTTAACATTTTTAATTTTAACGGATTAAAAAAAAAACACAAACATTAAAAAGCCGGTAACCCCTAAATATTAGTCCCGTCCATTAAAAGTTCCTAAAACTTAAGTAACGGTAATTGTTTTTTTTTTTTTGTTTTTTTTTTTTAATTTATTTCATTATTTAAGGAGTATAACTCCTTTCATTGTAAAAAAAAAAAAAAAAAAAAAAAAAACATCTGCTGATGTTAATTGAACTCAAAAAGGGAGTTTCACCCACTTGGACTTTTAGTTTTATCATAAAAGTACTCAATGTACTTTGGAGTTTTTATTGAGTTAACAACGGTAAAGAAATTTTATATCATAAAATTTCTTTACCGTTATTAACTCAATAAAAACTCCAAAGTACCTTTTTACAACGGCAAACAAAACGTTGTTTCTTCTTAATTAAGCTGCATAATTAATTTTATTTCATTATATACTTGTGAGACGATTTTTTTTTATCACAAATAAATTCGTAATATTTTCTCTTCATGACGGAAATAATTTATAATTTTATTGTTATTTTAAATTTTTTATTTCGAATTTTTTTAATTATTTCCTTCCAAGAAAAAATATAGGTATGATTCATTTTTCCTCTCCCCCAGCTTATAAAAGTTAAGTATAACTTTAAGGGTTGACTGGCGCTCTCTTGTTCTGAGATGGTAACCAGTCTAGAAGGGGAACTCTGAATTCATGGGCTTCGTCAGACTGTTTAGTTTAGATCTCCCATTGCTTCTATGGCTGTAAAATTGTGTACAATGCATTTGGAGCCCCTACGTACGACACTCTAGATTTACAAGACTAGTGACGTGACAATCTTTTACCAAAAAAATGTTTTCTTATGAATTTATCCCAAAGAAAAGGAAATTCCAATAATTTTGTTAAAATAATTGTGTAAGGGGTGTATGCTGCAAAAAATTATTTTAAGTGGAAATTAGGAAATTCAACCACATGACACGCACACAGTGACTAGAGAGAGTCTACAACCCCCAATTCAAAATAAATAAATAAAATAAACAAAAAAATTAAAAAACAACAACAGTGAAATTTAAAGTTTATCTTAAGAAAAAAAGTTTTTCTTCAAACAATACGTAGGCCGGGTCTTTTTTCCAATTTTTCTTCCCTTGTCTGTTTGTGATTGAGTGAGTTTTAGACAAATAAAACTAGGTGACTTTAAAGTTTGTTGTTTTTTTTTTTTTTTTTTTTTTTTTTAATGGAGCACTCTGTGATATTTGAAATAAATAGTTTGCTTTAACTGGCTTGCTAACCACTGCTCTATGGCGTGGACCCAAGACTTTTATCGGACTGCTTTATCTGGCATTGGGTCCTTAATAAAGAACACTCAGTGAGACAGATATCACTTATGGTCTGTTAACTCACTAACGGACTAACCTCATGACGGTGAGTGTAAATTTTGGATTATAATGTTTTCAATATGGTTCTGCCAATAAATGTTAAGAATACTTTGAACAGAGTATGTGAGCAATAAGAATATCTATCTATCTATCTATCTATCTATATAAGGAAACTAGGAACTACAAGTACACCAGAAAGAGTTGAAATTTCTGGGACATATACAGGAAAGAGAGGACATTGAGAATTTAATGCTTACAGAACATATTGAAGGCAAAATACCGGGGTTGGGGGGGGACATGGAGTAACCTCTTTATGGCAGAACAAATACGAAAAGGGATGGTAAATGGTCTGAAATTAGCAATAAAAAAACTGGAGCATCACAATCACATGTTCTGTAGGGATATGGTTCATAAAAAAATATTTGCTTGCAATTTGTTTGTTTCATAACAATTAAAATTTTGTACTTTGGTTTTTTTTTTTTTTTTTTCATAATCAGAACTAGAACAGATAATTTTTTGTCTATTTAGAACTGGAAATGATTTTAAAAATGAAATCGATTTGGTTACTGTTAAAGAAGAGGTCACAAGAATGCTGACATGTTCTGATTCCCTGTTCCAATTTAATGGAACTTTTAGAATTTAATGGAAAAGAAAAATTGTTATTTTAATTAAAAAAAAAAAAAAAATTAAACTAGAAATAACCATAAAAATTATAACCATAAAAATTAAACTTGTTTAGTTTAAATGTAACAGATATTATTATTACTAGTATTAATCTAGAAAAATGGAAATTTTTCACATTTTGATATTCTGATGAATCTTAATTCTTAAGTTAATGATTGAGTAAGCTCATGACAACTTCAACAATAATAAAATATACGTAAAAATTCCCCTATTGCATCATTAAATATTTGAGCTTAACTTAATATTGCAATAACAACCATAAATATGAATGCTTGTCACTATTTTAAGGAGTGGGTACAAATGAAATGATTTGAAATTAACATTTTTTAATTTAATTGAAACCACCATTAAACACTTCTATCTTTCCTTCTTTCTTCTATTAATTCACTGAGACGAAGTAGTGTCTTTTCTCCTCTTTCCATATTATCAAAATGGAATAGTCCATTATTTATTGGCAGTACATAATGGTCAGGCAAGCTAACAAAAAGAGGGACGAGCGCAATTATAATACGATGCCTGATGCTGTTGTAAAAGTGAATAAGTGCATGAGCATGATGTCACAACATTTCTGTTTGGACCACTTTAAAATACCTCAAGTTGTTGATAATTACATGTATTCTGTGGCTTTGTTATACTGAAAAAAATAATTTCTTCATTTAACACATATTTGGCCAATATATTTTTTTTTTACTTTGAAATGTATTATTTCTTATCTCTGTGCAATGCACAATGAAATTGTTCATTAGTCCTCAGGTGCACCATCAGATACAAAAATAAAATAACTAATCCTTATTTGGAATTTTTTTTTTTTTTCATCTTCTAAGAGAATCTTCAGAACACATTTTTAAATGAAATTATTTGAAAATAGATTACTAAAATGAAAAATATAAATGATTTTTTTTAAAAGTGGGATTTATTATTCTACCCAATGTTTATAAAAAAAAATGAGAACAATAGCATATAGATAAAAAAAAAAAATAAATAAAATTGTCTTTTGTCCAGATATTTGCTGAAAAATCATTTCATAAACTTCATATAAATGCTAGTCATTAATTGAATTCAGTTTTGTTGGTTCCAATCACTCTAGGAAGGACTGCAAAAACATTCCCTTTTGCAAATGTAATAAGAGAAAATCACCTATTTTGAAAAAGAGTTTGTCTTGTGCATGGTCTGCTGAAAGAAAAATAAAGAAAATTGTTAGCAAAACCCTAACCCTGCCACATTAAGTACCAGAAGAACTATGCTAATGTTCCCTTCTCCCTGACTGGCATGGCCAATCAGAAATATCACTGAATAAAGGCCGTTGCTTTGATTAATGAGGGGAGAATGATTTTTGAGTTTGGTGACCAAAAGTGCATTTCTTCTGTTGTGAGTGGAAGGTTAGATTTTTGACCTCATTTTCAGTATAAATTTGCCTGCTGGACTGTTTATGACCACTTTGCCTTTTGGATTTTTTTTTTTTTTTTTTTTTTTTACTGACCCCATTGGTTAATACTGTAACAAGCTATTTTGGTGTTACTTCGTATCTAGCAAGATGGCAGAACGACTGTTCAACATAAAACTGATCCCCAAAATTCATTGGTGATAAGAATGGACAGCCTCTGAGTGGATCAAGAACGCAGAATTGGTCAGTGAGTTATGCAAGATCACGAAGATTGAACAAATTCTTCCACTGCGTTTGAAAGACATGTCAATCTTACCTGCTCACTGGGCCAAGTCATTTTGCCAAGGACAGCCACTATCAATGTGAACAAATGCACTGTGGTTCAGTACAAAAACAATGCCCTGATCTACAATGTTTTAAACATCATAAATTAGGCCACTGGAAATTGAATGGGGAGGGGGACATACAACATCAGTGCTAGTCTTTTCCCCGACACAGAGCATGAAAGAGGTGCTCCCTGTGAATGAGGTATACATCAATTTGATAATGTGTACTGCTTTAGTGGATTTGGGCTGCTCTTGGTCACTCACAAACAGAGCAATCTGTCTGGAGTGGACAAAAGATGGACATGCTAATGGTTGATGGAAAGGCTTTCAAGAGCTGAGTTGTTTGAAATATAAGACTCAATGTCAACAATGGTTATCTTGTCACTGTCATTGTTTTGATCTGGAGGACGGTGCTTGTGTGCAGGTCTGGGGGAAGCATAATATGCTTCACTGAAAATGTGGAGGCAAGCTCCTGGAGATTCTGGGCACATTACACAATTCAGTGTGTTCTCATTATGTGGGGAAACTGGTGGGACATTTTTCTTTGGATGGTTGGATCCGTGTTGCAGCTGCTTTTATCAAATGCAGGATGACTGCAGTCACTTCTGGGTGGGATGATGAAGCAACTAATTCTCCCCTTAGAAACATGATAATGGAAGTCATTACCAGGGTACATCAAGGCAATCCCATACATGGTAAATGGTGCATTGATAGGTGTGAATTGGAAGTCTGGGTCAACGCAAGTGCCCTTGCCATAAGTGTCCCTTGAGCTCAATGGAACCATTGTGGAAGATGCATGTTGGTTGTGTCCACAGAAGGATATGCAACATATTAACCTGTTGGAATTGGATGCTGTCATTAAAGGGGTAACCGTGGCCCTTCAGTGGAATGCAGCAGTGTTGCATTTGTTCACAGATACTGCATAAATGAATATCAGACACTCTTATGGGGGAGGCCAAGATACATACAAAGGCTGTGAGTAAAATGCTCATTCAAAGGCGGTTATACAAGCTAGGAAATTTGGTAAGCAAATATAACTTATTAGTGGATATACAATTGATCAGATAAGGTGGATAGGTTGACAAGGGTGCCTCAGAGATGGCTTGACACTATGAAGATAGAGGTAGAGCCGGTGGGACATGTCTGTGCAACATCAGTGAACGATTGTAATCAGATGTACTAAAATCTGTGCATTGTCAAAGTGGACATCCTGGCATAAAACCGACCCTGTATTTTGTGAGGCAGATTGATTTCCCTGTATCCAAAGCTGTCATCAGAGCAGTGGTCAGAGAATGCAAGGAGTGCCAGTTCATCAACCCACCAAATCTGAGATTAATTTATTTTTATCCTTAATCTTTTTCTAATCTTTCTGACTTTTTTTTTCTGAAATGGTGTTTCTTGTTATAATTTGTGAAATAATGGCACAGATTATTTTTTACTTATTTATTTTTTCCAGATGTATCTGATTTTGTTTATTTGCATTCTTTTCAGATTGTCTCCCAAGTTAGTCGACACTCTTGATGTAGCTGATTCTAGATTTGATGCTGTGGTGTTGGTTACTGATAAACTAGAGAGGTTGTCTGGAAATACCTCAATTTTTGAAAATGTTCTTTCTCAACATGGTGAAGTATGTTGATTTAAAGTACTGAATGTTTCTCTTTACTTTACATTTCATTAGGTACCTCCACTAGGTCACTCAATAAAACAGCATAACATGATGAAAATGGCACCAAACTCAATAAAAACAAAGTTTTGTCACTAAAATGTTATAAGAGGAAAGACCAAAGCGAAATTTTTTTACTCCTTTCTAGCATGTTAGATATTTTGGTTAAAAATCTTGTATTTTTTCTGACAGCAGCAAACTAGAGACAAAAGGTTTGTTTTATTTTGCGCTTTCCTGAGGGAAACACACATTGATTTGGAAATTCTTGCAAAATTCAAATAATTGTTGGATTTTAATGAAACTTTCAGGATATATTCAGAAATGAATGAAATTATTTTTAAAATTTTTATTTTTAGAAAATCTTGGTAAAAAATATTTTTTTCTACATATGTTACTACTCACATAATTTCATGATTTCAAGAAATTAAATTTTTAAAGGGGTAGGGGAGGTTAGTTAAAAACAGGATTCTTTAGAGAAAGTAAATCATCAATTTTTGTAAAACGGTTACCAGTTTCATCAAATCTCCTGAATTGTAAAATAAAAAAGGCAATAAAACTATGACATTATTTAAAAGCTTTTAATTGCTTTTGTAAATAAGTTACATTAAGGACACTACTGTCTGAAGAAATAAAATTTTTTCAATGAATGATGAATTTTTACAAGAATTTTTTTTTTTAATTATAATAATATAATAGATCAAAAATCATTTGAAATTCTCCATTCTTTTCAAGAATGCAATTTGGTGATATTAAGTGAAAAGTAAATTTACAAATTAAGATTTGAAAAGCTCATAACAGTTGTTTGTACCTGATTTTAGAAAATAATTTTTAGTGAAAAAACGTTCTTAATTTCTACCTATGGAAATCTATACATGACGTAATCTTTAATTTAAGTGTTATCTGACACACTGCAATTATTTCCCTTTTAATTCAGTTCTGTTTCATCATTAACGTCTTTGCAAATCATCCCTTTAAAATATCAGAAAAGGTTTTATTTTTCTTAATTGCTATTTCACTAAATATTTTTATTTTGTGTTTTAGTTTGGGTCATTCTTCAATTAATTAATTTTCCGTTTAAGGTAGTAAACTTAAGAACCTAGAGAGGAAATGCAAACTTTATAAAGCTTCTTAAAAACTTAACTAAAATCAAAATATTAAATAATTGCTGAAAATATGTTAATTTGTAAAAATTACTAGGTAGTTAAAAAAAAAAAAATGCATTCACTTAGTTTTCATAAATATGTCATTTCTAGTGATCCATAAGAGCTGTCATCACCTTAAGAGCTTCTCCATAAATCAATAAAGAGCAAAGAAAAAGGAACCCATTGTTAAGAAATGCTTGTGTATTGGTTTTTGGTGCTATAAGTAATATTTATTTCAAATCAGATTGATTGAACTTCAAATTTTCTATTTTTACTCAAATAACATGTCACAAATGTATAATTTAATTTTTAAAGAATATTAAACATGATAAATTTCACAAATTTCTTAAAAATTAAGAAAATGGCTGCTTTTAAGAAAATTTTAAAAAAATCAAGCAATTATTTGGCATTCCAATCTATATAATTTCTGTCTAAAATACACCAGAATATTTTACTTATTTAATCATTTACCTTTCAATTAAAACTAGAATGAAATCTTCAAGAATGCTTTTTCATTTTTAAAATTTAATTTTAAAACTTAGTTATCGAAAATTCAGTGGAGGTACATAAATTTCATTTTTTTTTTTTCTCTCACACGTGTGTGTGTGTGTGTGTGTGTGTCTCTACTTTTGCATAGACTTAACAGTTGATGTTGCAAATATGCTGTGATCTTCAGTTTTGAAAAATAATTTAAGGATTAAATTTGATATATTACTAAAGGCCTACAGTATTTACATTAGTGGGACTATTGTCCTCATCTTTGTCGCCATATTTGTCTCAACGTTTGACGTTTATGCGCTCCGGCCTTCTTCAGGTGGTTGGAATTTTGAACTGAACCCTTTATTTTCTGAACCAAAGAAGGTGAGTTGTTCTAATTCCACGTGGCCATGTCAGAGGGAAAATTAGTTATAACTGATAACTGACATCCATCAAACATGGCACGTGGAACCAAGAAACAGTTCAATTTAAATAAAGGGTTCAGTTCGAAATTCCAACCACCTGAAGAAGGCCGGAGCGCATAAACGGGGAAAAAATGTTAACAAAGTGACAAATATGGCTGTTAAAGATGGCGATAAAGATGAGGACAATAGTCCGACTAATGTAAATACTGTACATAATACCTCATCTCAGAAATATAGACAAACTACTAAAGGCCTTTTTTCTTTTTCTCAAAGAATATAAAGTCAACATTAATTTTTTTTTTTCCTTACTCAAAAATTAAGCTTGAAGGATGAAAATTTATTTATTTTATTTATTTTTTATTTTATTTTTTTATTTTTTTATTTTTTTTTTACAGTAAGAAGTTTCTCAAAGGTTTTATAAGTACAATTTCACAAATGATGTCTCATTTTAGATTTCCAGTCTTGAAAGTTTGTGTGTGCTACGTTGTGATGCTTTGCCTGCCAAACGTTTGGTAAGTTTTTTTTTTTTTTTTTTTTTTTTTTTTTTTTAAGAAAAAAAAAAAAAAAAATATATACAAGAGTAGAAAGATTTCAGATTAATTTATAGAAAAAAAAATGAAATGATAATCTAAAATTTGAACCAGGAATTAACAGAATTGACCAAAAATATCACAAGAATACATAGGTGAGGCACATGGAAATTTCGATAAAAGAATATATGAACACAAAAGGAATATTTTGAAAAACAATACACTCAGTGCATTAGTTGTTCATTGAAATAAGTCTCACCTTAATTTCAACTTTAAAATGTTTTAATTAAAAGGGAAAGTAATTTATTAAGACAAAAATGTATTGAAAGTGTTATAATTTCAGTATTATGGTAAATTTATCTCTAGAATAATACACTTTTATTTTCCTACTGCTATTACAATGTGGGATATTTAAAAACAGTGACAGAAAATGTATGTGGTCAGTTATTCTTCTAGATATATTGTCTGACAAAAACTAAAAATTGTGTCTATGTATCATTAGTGTATTTTTTTTTTCTCTCCATTTTTGTCATTTGATTATGAGTCATTCCACCTCGACTTGACCAATGGCCACAGGTGACTCTCAGAAAAATCTTGAAAAATTTCAAGTGTTCTTGATCAAATTTATTGATAAATCCCAAATATTAGATCTGTATCTTAAGTTTTAAAATCAGAACATTTCAAAATTTCACTGCATTTTTTTGCATTTTACTACATGACTTTTGCTAATCTTCATGTCATCAGCAGATCAGGAATATTTTTAAAAATATTTCTACAAAATATTCTTACATGCCTGAAGATCATGTTACAGAAAGTTCATTTTGTGGACAAACTTGGCTATGGTTAAAACAAGTTTTTCTAGAATAACTTGTCATGCTGAACTTATGGTTTTGTCAATTTTGGCACCTTATAAATTTGATACTTAAAATATGAAGCTGAAATTGGTACCCTTATGCAAATAAACTATTTTTCGTTTCATTTCACATTTGTTCCAAATAGTTTAGATGCTATGAACCCTTAAAAATCAATCATCTTTCAGATCGTTTACAAAACTTGTAACTTAACAAAAAAGTAGACAAAAGACATTAATGTAATGATTCCATTATATATTATTTTAATTTTAAATACATCAAAACCTCAAGTCACAATAGTGAAAAGGCATTACAATTTGTTCATGTTGAGCAATTTCTTTGATACTCAACAATACATACAAATCAGGAGTATTAGTAAGGCAAAAATCACTTTATGAATATTTCTAAAGGTAATAAACATGAATGTTTGCACAGGTTTGGTTTCTTTCGTGTAGATCAAAGCTTTCTGCTGTCACTGTGCCTCATGAGGAGATGAAAAGTAGTAGTGATTGATGGTGGATGAGTGTAACTACTCTTGTTTCTTTTTCTTTTTTTTTTCTTTTAATGATGATGCTAATGATTGTGATCAATGTTTTGCAAATAATACAAGTAGTCTCAACAAATATGAATATCCAGGAAGGAAACCAGTTTTTTTTTTTTTTTTTTTCTTTTCTTTCAGTACTCTAAAGGAGTTACAGCTTTTGGTAAACCAATATCATCATATGTGTATGCTAAGAGAGAGGTGTGCAGCTAAAAAAAAAATTGTTTACTTTTTTTCTTGTTTCTATGTGGAGTGTATAGGAAGTTGGGAGTATTTCATCAAGCCTTGATATTTTGCCTCCTTATCAAAATATAAGGTTTGCCAGCATCAGTGTGATAGTGCAAAGAAAGAGATAAGAGATCAGAAAAACTCATTTTTATTCTTGCTAACAGTGAGAACACTGGGTTTATTTCTAATATTTCCACATTTCCTTATGCTATATTTTTGATCAGCTATTTACTTTTTTTAAAATTTCTCTTTATAATTTTATTCACATATTTTTAACTTATTGTTATGCCACAAACATGACATTAATTTCTTCAGGACTTTTTCATTTTTGAGAAAAATTAGGTATCTTCAAATCTTTTCAATTGATGAGACAAGCAAATTTGGTTAATAAATCCTGAAAGTTTTTAATCATTTAAATGTATTTCAATTCTTCTTTTGTATGATAAAGATTACAATAAAATTAATGTAAGTTTTAGAATGTTTGTATCAACACATCATCTTGTTTGTGATGGTAGGTAGAGGCACCTAAATAAATACTTCAAAACATTGGTCATTTTATAAACAAAATATTCCTGATATTAAAGTACTGACTATTGCAATATTAACATATACCTATATCACAATCTCCTCTCAATTCCCTATCTTGGAACTACTGTCTGGGCATTTCCCTCCACTAGTTGATCTTTCCCACCCATGTTATGTTTATGTTTTAGATCCGAGAAAAGTTTAGGCAAAGCTGATTGAAACACTTTCTACAAGAAAAGTAGAGAAAGCAACTTTCAGTTACAACTGATTTTTCAAGATACTTCTTGCTATCTGCCTAACTCTTGCATTTTTATTGACCTGTAATATTAGACAAGAACATGGATGGAAATATTTCTGATAGGCTTCACCAGCAATTTTTCCATCCATTAGTAGCAATGGTGATGCATCCAAGAGTGAGGATGGGGAAATCTTGAATATGCAAGATAAAGACAATGTATCTGAAAAGGACACTACACTTCTCTGGTACAATGAAACTGGAGGAGAACATGCTACCCCCATTCCAGAGAAGTACATGAAGGAAAAGTTCTGCTCCAAATTGCCATACATGTGATCAAGAGATAGGTGTAGGTATAGCAAAGACTCACATTCTCAGTTGTGAAAGACACCAAATCACATGTATATTGGCCAAGGGTTAAAAGAACTGAAAAGGTAAAATCAGGTGGAAATGTGACCCTAGTTTTGAAACTGGTTACATCCAGGCTTTTGTTAGCATTGGATGCATCACCATTACTACTTGTTGATGCATCTGAGCCAGGGAAAGGACAGATATGCTTGACATAGTGTGGCTGTATTGTCATTGTGCATTGATTGTGTGAGATTATCTCTCACACATATTCTCCCACCTTGTATTTTGTGTGGTTCGCCTCAGGTTTCATTGAAGTCACTGAACTGATTCTTTGAGTTAAACCTCATAGGTGTAGATACCATTAGCAGGTGTAGATACCATTAGCAGGTGTAGCAAGGTGTCATCCTTGGAGATGGAATTAAAATTGTACCAATACATGGTTTCTTGGATTTGAACATCTTGGTAGCAATCCTGTTTATACTTCTGACACTGCTCCACTATTGTCTTTCCCACCAAGATATAAGCACAACAAAATTTCAAGTGCACTTCCCATTCTTCCACGAATGTTGTGGTGAATACCCATTATTTGACTGGGGCTTATGTTGTCCATAGAAGCAGCACACATCTAATATGTAGGTTCAACTTCCTCCTTGACCATTTTGAATCACTTTTTGTGTGCCAAATTCTGACTCTGTGAGCAATACCACTTTAATAGAGAATTTGTATTCCTGGACTAAATCTTTAACTTTGCTCAGTCTTTTCCAAATTAGCATCTCGCCTGCTGCCTTCATGTCTACCCAAGCTTTATTAGTCAACATATCAGTGGTATACATACATGGAATGGATTGAAATGTTGGTTTGTGAATTTGAGGACATGGTAATTGTGAGTTCAATCCCTGAGCTGGGCAGTGTGTACTTGGACTGTGAAAACGGGTTGAGCAATAATGGAGTATTAATAAATAAAAACTAGATGAGATATCCTAGACATGGGCAGTGAAATGAGAACAATCTACTCCCATAGATTAAATGAAGAGTTCAGTTCAAAATTTCCTGTGGGTTACTCAAATCAGCATACACCTGATGAAGGCCAGCGGACACAACCATTAAAATATTGTGATAACAACAACAAAGATGAGAACAATAGTCCATATGTAACTAATAACATCTCATCCCAGACAAAATGTTCATTCCTCAAATACATTTTTGATTTCAATTGTTAAGTTTAATCATAAAAATATACTTTATTTTCATCATATTTTTTCAAGTTTGAACAATAATGATTGGTCTACAATACATTGTTTGTTTTTGAATGTTTTAATTTTTTTCTGAAACTGAAAAACTGGTGATTATTTGTCAGATTTGGAGCCCCACAGGTCCTATAAACAGAGACTATGATGATGTAAGGAGATGGGGAGAAGCAGCTGAAAAAGGAACAAAAAAGTGAGTAGAATTTGCTTTGAAAAATTTATTTTTTTTAAATGTTTCCAGTTATGTTGCATGTCTATCACAAGAACCTCATAATATTGACCAACAAAGCAAAAAGTTGAAAGTAAGTTTTATCTGACAGTATTCCAAATTGTTACTATTTTAATGTAAAAAAAACAAAGAAAAAAAAAAAAAAATGACCAATAAAATGATGTGGGATAAGATTTTTTTTTTTTTTTTTTTAAACTCAGAACCTTAAGCCACCTAAAGTTATGACTAAAATTAGTACTTCTTGAAAAATAACACACTTGAGGTTTTCGTTAGCTGTACAGAGTGCAGCAGAAATACCTCGTGCATAATTAGTGGCAAGTGTTTTCACCTAGCTAAAATCCTACCATTATGTGTGAGGTATTTCTGCTGCATTCCATATAATATTTATCCTGAAACCTCTTATTGAATTAATCTTTCACTGCCAAATAAAGAATTGTCAACTTTCACTTCAGCGCTATAATTATTTTTTAGAACTTTGGTTTTAAATTTCGCTATAAAAATATCATGCAGAATTTCTTAGTTCTACATTTATATTCATAGACGCAAACTTGTTTGTTTTGCAGAGCATCAGATCTGGGCTGTAAAAAACCCCTTTTGGTGACTGTCATTCATGACAGCTTTTCACAATCTTTTAGAGTTTCTGTACTTGGAGCCCTTCATGGTTTGTATGTGGTAAGTAAATAAATATTTCCACCATAATTCATGTATTATTGTACATTTGCTATACTAGCAAATAGAAAAATCCTTACAAATTGTATTCTTTGTTTTCTGTTCAGCCTCTTGAAATTCGTGAAGCTGTTCCAGAGAAAGCCATAAAGGCTGAAATTTTGGGTGTTTATGTTCATGGCATTAAAGATGCAGCCTCTGAATTGAGAATAATCCATGCTTTAGAAGAAGGAAGGTAGGTATTTTTTTTTTTTTTTTTTTTTGCAACAATACTTTGCATTCTTGTATTAACTAAGTCTTAAATAATAATGATGACTACCAAGAATAATTTTTTTTTTTTTTTTTTTCTGGATATTTTATCTCTTACTTAGTACATGAGCTCAGACAAAGTAGACCAACACTATAAGTTCCAAAATCTTTAAAAAGATATTAACTGTTGTGATTGGAAGCAAAGTATTAAAACTGTCCTATTATAATTACATAAAATGGTTTTAGTAAATATTGTCTGAAAATGACCAGTGTAACATCCAAGTGGAAAAAGATCATTGACTGAAATGTTGGAATAAAAAAATAACAAAGATGAATATGCTCATCTGCTATTTGTCTCAAGGATTTCATTACATTTCAAAATAACCTCTGGGACAAACTGTAGACAGTTTTGTTCTTTTTTCTATGAAATATTCTATTTTATTGCCTACTCCAACAAATCGGTTGGTACTTACATTAATTATATTACTAATATCACAAAAAGTGTCCTGATTGTGGTTCTAAAATATTTTTGTGGTCAGCACTTCTTTTGTACTAGAAATCAGTAATTTTTTTAAATTACAGGAATTCATTTGATATATATATATATATATATATATATATAAATTTATTGTTTTTAATCAGTTCACCCAAAGCAAGGTAATTGTGCCTCTAAAATGAGATGATTTATTGAGAGTGAAAGAAAATGTTAGTGAAGTAAAAGGACAATAAAAGAACAGGATTCAGGAAGACAAATGATGACAATTGATGTTGCATTTAAATTTTTGAACATTGTATGTGGCAAGAAGGCAAGAGTTCCACAGGCAAGATGTGTTAGAGGAGAAACTATTAGAATAGGACTTATGGTTATATCTAGCTATTTCAGCAGTAAAATAATGAGACCTAGTTGCTAATTCAGTACTAGACTTTAATTCATGTGGTCCAGATCAAAGAAGAGCTCATCAGAACAATTGTCATGTAAATATTTATAGAAAAGATAGAGGGAAACCATGCTACATTAGTAGAAAAGTGAATCAAATGAAGATGCTAGGTCATGACCGATAATATTAGAGACTTTGGATTTTGTCAAGAATCTTGAGACATATAGCAGGAGCACTAGATCAGATATGACAGCAATATTCAAGGTAGTGATGATTATTAGATTCATAAATTTGCAAGATAATTTGTCAAGAAAAAAATGTCTGGTATGACACTGTGAACCAACTTTTTTGTCTTTTGGTAAGATACCATTGCTTAAGAGAAATTATCTTTTAGATTTTATATATAAGCCTCCTCTACCTAGAATTGTTGAGTTGCAGAGGGCAGAGAATTCAAATGGATAAAAGTAAAGAATATTTGCTTATTTAGTTAAAGGCAGATCAAGAAACAGCTCCAAACCTTCCTTAGATACAATAAAAGAATTATAGATGGAAATTCTTCACTTTAAAAGATCTGACAATGATTAGACTGACCAGTTAGAAGTCATTAAATTCAGATCTGTGTGTGAGTAAATAATTGTAGGACAATAAAAGTAACAAAGTACCATATAAAATCAAGTAAATAAATGATTAGAATTATATCAAATAAAATGAAGCAAGAAAAAGAAATATTTTAGACAAAATATATTTTTTAAAAGATATTCCAAATGACAATATTTAATGAGCAAAAGTTAATCAAATCAGACAAATGTTCTCTAGCATCAGTCTTTTCTTTTTCCTTTTTTACACTAAGCCAGTATTATACTAATTTTTGTTCTTGTGTAAGTGTAGGCTACACACCCTTTCATATTTTGTATTTATGACTCCAAAAATGTTTGAATTGAATGGTATAAAAACAAAAATTACTTTTGCATCCTTAAAGCAGTATGACTGTTTTTAGTGTCTTGGGTGGGATTGGTTTTCTACTGGTATTAAAAACTGATCACTGATATTTTTATAAAAAAATTTAAAATTTATTAATAATTTAAGTATCTTCTTTGAAGCTAAAATCTTAGTTTCAATTACAAAAAAAATAACAAGAAAAAAATTGAAAAAATAATTACTAAAGGAATTTTTAGGCTGTTTTTAATGTCAGTTTTTTTCATCCGTAATGAATTTCACTTGCATTGTGATATTTGCTGTTAAAAAAATGTGACCTGTTTTTTTTTTTGTTTTTTTTATATTTTTTATCAAGTAGTCCTTATAAAAATATAAACTTCAGTTTCATTACTGAACTGGACTTCAAGGTCAAATGTGTGTTCAGTCATCTTTCCTTACCCAATGGTGATAAAAGCCTTTTTAAATTTGATTCTTAAATAATGATATTGTCAAGCTGTTAACTTTTCACACTACTGAAACTAAAAGGTTTGAAAGACAATATTGGAACAGTAGACTTAAATTTAATTTTCTTAAATAGATTTTACAAATTTCAACCAACAATAACACTAAGTATTCAGACAATGAATGTGGAATGTTTCCTGTATGGAAATTGCTAATTTTACCATTTCATTCATTATAATGAATTAAGATTATCCCTATCCAAAACACTGCTCTGTGGTTAATGTTGAAAAAGTCACAGTTGAAAGAAATTTATTTACCCTGTTCAAATTGATTGCCAGAAATTTACTATTTCTGAAAATGAAGTAATTATTTGTATATGGTATAACTTTATGCCTAATCATAAATTAAATTCTTCAGATTATAGAATTACTAAAAAGGAATAAAATCTTTTAACCTTTTATTTTTATTTTATTATTTTACTTATTGATGAAAAATTCAATTATTTCTGATGAAAATATTTTCTCAAACTATCAAATTTTCTCATTTGTAATTGTCAGAGTGGTGACTCGTGACATTGGTGGTTCTGATCCTGAAAGAATGTCTGCTCCAAATGTTGTGAGATACATCAAAGACGTTTTCAGTGGGTCAGATTCTGGTGTTCATGTAAAGTATTCATTGTTTTTTTTAAACCTTAATTTGTGTTCTAAGAAGAAATTGTTAAAAATTCTTTTATACATTTATTCCCAAAACCATTAAAAAGACTTCTCTTGCGCAGGGTTAAGGTAAGAGTACCTGAGTGATTTGGATTGTATTTTTGTTCTATGATGACTAAAATTTTTTTTTTTTTTTTTTTTTCTTGATTGTTTCAATTAACTTGGAAAATGAACCAAAATTGTCATTTTCTTTGTTTCATGCTGATTTTAGGTAAATATTTTAATGTGTTTTTTAGAATTTTTTTGTTTCAATTTGTTTTAGCTTCAAACAATCAAATTTGATATGTAGATGTAATCATATATATAGCCTGAAGATTGCAAGAAACAAACTGTTATTCACTCTTGTATATTGAGCACTTTTACCTATAAATATAGCATATATTAAATCTATAATTTTTTCATATATACACTAGCATGCAAAACTTTTTGGTCACCTTAGTAAATTAATTACTTTAGTGAATAAATTAGTTACTTTTACTGAATAAGAGTATAGTGATGATGAAAAAGACTATGGAAAAATGTCTGGCTACCAGTGACAATTTCACCTGAAATTTAAAAGGATTTTTCTTTTTTGCAAAAAGTGATCTGTATTACTACAGAAAGTATAAAACATCAAAGTATACAGTAAGTAATTAATGTTGCTTGTGTTTGGCTCAAATAATTGCCTCAATTCAGTGCAACATTGTATAGAACAAATTCCAGATTTTCTCATTTGGAATTTTTTCCTATTCTTAATAGTAACCCCAAAGCACAAGTAAATGGTGTGGTTTTCATTGGAGCACCTGTTTCTTCAGTTGCCATCACAATATTTCAATTATATTGAAATCAGGACTTTGTGCTGGTCAGTCTTCCAAAAGTTGAGCATCTTCATCTGCAAACTAATATAGTTTTGACTGTTTGTTTCCATCAATATTTACCAATTTTTTTCTATCATCATTGCAACTCTACACAATTATGTGTTGACCATCAAATTTTACTTTGTGGTGTATCATGCATTGTTTCTCTTCACATTGAAACACTGGTTTCTGTATGATCACAGAAGTTAAGTAATGTCGAACCTGGTCAGTACCTAGATTGGTAACCGCTTGGGAATACCATACTGTAAACTTGTTTGTTGGTGGTGTAAGGGATAATGGCCTGAAATAATTAATTGGAGAACAGTTCCAATTCCTGTTTGGTTTATTATATTCACTTACATGCAAATGCTCCTAGGAAAGGTATGAATCCACCTGTTCTCCTCCACCCCAGCTATGTTATTAAGACTTGTATCACTAAACCATTATTATCGCCAAAAAAGTCTTACAATCTAAAAATATTTTCTGGCTTTAAATAACTTGTAAAGGGTTGATAAGCCATAGAAAATGAAGCAGACAACCTCAAAAAAATAAAACCAAAAATTTGGATTTAAAATGAATTTTAAATGATGATCCTCTAGCAAACTTTCTATATTAGGGAATTGTAGAACATTTTATTTTTTCAAATTTCATAATGAGGTTTCTTGACTTATTTTGTTTAAAAGAAATTCTCTTATGTACAAAATCTAAAAAAATGTTAGTTCAATATAAATTTTTATTTTGTTTATGACTTAGATTACTGTTGAAGAAGATGTGAATAATCTTGAAAAAAATTATCCTTTGCTTGGTGCTGTCAACCGCGCAACACGCAGTAAGTAATTTGTCCATTTATCTGAACCAAATTTAATTGTTATATCAGTTATTTTGGACTTAATTAAAGGCAACACACTAACATCCATATGTATATTTTTATTATGCATATATGAAAATCAAAATCTAAATAGTGGCATTATTTGTATCACTCTAGTGGAGGAATTAAAATTCAGTCTCTTAACAGCAAAGATATACATTGCTATACTACAGAAGACACTTAGCCGCATAAAAAATATCCAACTGGCTATATTTATTTTTATTTATTATAATTGCTAATATAAAAAGTGAGTTGGTTTTTGTTTTTTTTTTTGTTTTTTTTTTTTTTTTTTTTAATCTATAGCAGTAAAAGTGAAAAATCATATGAAATAAATTGCTTTCTGGAGGTAGTCTACCTGGACTTTAGGTGGAAAAATAAAATCCGAATGTCATGTCTACAAATCACAATACAAAATTAAAAACAATGTGAAGAAATAATCTTTACAAAAAAAGAAGATCAAGTTAAATTTGACAATAACATTTATACAGTAGTTACATGTTGAACATGAATTGTTACAAGTGAGTCTGCAAAGTTTGAAGCTATGTACGCCTATGTATGTATGTGTGTGAGAAACACATGCCAATGAAACATGTATGACTGCTGACTGGTTGTGTGCAATAGCAGTGATTTCAAAACGGTGAACAAAGAGGATCTAGAATTTACTTTTGCCATGGCTTTGTATGTAGAAAGATCATCGCTGACTAACGCATTTTCATGCTAATGTGTGTTGTGGCTGGGCCTTGTTTACTGACTGTTCCTTTTCATAGATTTGTTCTGACTATTGTTGACAAGCTGTTTTTATTGCTATTTGACAACTGGTGTCAGCTCATGAATCCTATCTGCACTGACATATTTCCAGGTCATTTGGAGTTCAACTGCACAAACATTGTAGAGAGCATATCCCATGACTTGTCCTATCCAATCAGGTTCAAGAAACCACTTAATTTTGGAGCTGTGTTTGTACAGAATTGTAAAAGTTTTTTGTATCTACTGAATTTAGTGAGATTTAATTGAAGGTGTCTCTTACTTGTTTGTGTGCCCCTTAATGGTGGTAATATATAGGAGTTTATATCCTATAGCTTCACATTCAACATAGAAGCTGTTATATCTCGTGCAAGATATAATAAACAAAGTAACACAAGTGTTGGGTTTCAATAATAGGTTTATAATCAGATGTAGGTGTGTCAAATACAGAGACAGTCGGGAGTATGCTAACCTCAATAGGTGTTAACAAACGAAGACTTCTTGACTGTCCGCTGTGGTCGTACTTAATCGGTAACCAGTCCGTCCAGTATCGGGAATGGGGAAGTTGGGTTATATCATCACAACACCTCCCCCCAAAGCTGAAATTCTCCCCTTTGAAAATTTCTGCTTCTAATGTCGTCGTCTTTTTGGATCCGGACTAAAACACTCCACTGGTTTTCTTTCCCGTGTGCTCCTTCTTTTAGTCGTCACAATTAGATCCTTTTTGGCGAAGATAATTTCGCTTTTCAGCCCGTAAGGCTGGTCCATGAGATACAGGTTCATATACACTATTGGGTAGTGTCATGTTAAAAGCATCGCATAACACTTCCATCGGAATTTCTTCTTCGTTTTTTTTTCACTTTCTTCACCATATCGTGGTCTAATCTGATTGATGTGTCTTTTACACGTAAATTTTTACTTTTAATCGTGTAGGCCACTTTACCAATCCATTACTGGATTATGCCATCCATCCAATAGCTTTTTTCCACTTTTAAAATTTAAAAAAAACTTTGTCTCCTGAAGTGTATTTTTTTTATGTTGACTTTTTCCTCTTTCTTAGCAACTTTTTTGTTTTGATAGGGTAACAATCTATCGAAAATTGATCTAATTTTCCTTTGAACATAATTTCCACCGGTGACATTTTCGCATCGTTGTTCTCATTAGGAGTTACCCTATAGATTGCTAAGAACTTCTGAATAGTTCTTTCTTCCGTGTCCATACCTTTATTTTTCGTAAAAGCACGTTTTAAAGGTGTCAACAAATTTCTCGGCTTGACCGTTCGACCTGGGATGATACACTGGTGTAGTTATGTGTTCAATGTCTAAGGCAGTACAGAAATCCTTAAACTCCATACTTGTGAACGCCCATACCATTGTGAATGACTTAACCAATGTCCTGGGAACCCGAAACAACTGAAAATTTCATCCAATGCACTGATGGTGTTCCTAGATGTAGGATGCTTGCACTTGACTACCTCAGGCCATTTCGAGTCCACCAATATCAAATAAAAGTACCCATTAATTGGTCCAGCATAGTCTATATGTAGACATGCCCACGGCAAATCTGTTTTCGGCCAAGGATTCATTTTGACCGAAGGTGCCCTTGCAGCCAATTGACAACCTCTACATAGTCTTACAAAACCTTCAATATCCTTGTCCATTCCTGGCCAGTATACGTAACCACGCATAAGTGATTTCATCCGAGACATTCCAGGATGACCGGTATGAAATTCTTTCAGCATATCTGTACATAGAGATTGAGGTATAACAATTCTATCTATGATTACATCAACGTGTTATGCATAAATTGAAAAAAGGTGAAATCTGAGTTCCTTTTTCTGTCTTTTGTTCCATCTCGTCTGGTTCCTTAATTTCACAATATAGTGATCTTTTTTGCTTCTTTTTTTTATTTGGTCCAAAGTTACCGGCAATTCCCTGATTGTATTCAACAAGAGACCTGATATTTCTTTTCCTCAGTTAATGCTGCTATAACCGTCCCTTCTAACATTTCTTCATTTTTTTTTTTTGAATCAGCCTTGACAATCCATCCGCATGCCCATGTTCTTTAGATTTGACGTATTCCATCCTAAAATGGTAATTAAGCAGGGTTAAAACCCCATCGCCGTAAGCGATTAGCTGTATCGTAGGGAATGATTTTTTTTACCTCAAATATTGTAAGTAACGGTTTATGGTCCGTTAAAGTACAAATGATCTACCATATAAAAAGCGATGGTATTTTTTTTAACCCGAACACAATCGACAAAAGCCCTCTTTCTCGATCTGACTATAATTTTTTTTCAGCGGAAGAAGAGTCCTCAATAAATGCGTAATCGGTTTTAGTAGTGCCATCTTCATATTTGTGTAGCAGTGCAGCACCCACTGCATTACAAACTTGCGTCAGTTGCCAGAATGATCTCTTTCAGGATCATAATGTGCTAAAATAGATCTGAGAGTAGGCATTTTTTATTTTCTGAAAAGCCGTTTAGCAATCTTTTGACTAAAAACCATTTCTTGTCTTTTTTCAACAATTCGTTAAGGGGGGCTCTTAAATCATACATTTTAGGTATGTAGATTGCATAATATTGTGCCAACCCAGAAACGATTGTAGTTTCAAGAACTGTCGGGTGCAGGCATGTTCTTAATTGCATCGGCTCTCTGCGGGTCCGGTTTCCTGCCTTCACTGTCTATTACCTGTCCGAGGTATGTAATTCTTTCCATGAAGAATTTACACTTCTCGTGGCTTAATTTAAAGCCAAAATCTTCTAGTCTTTTGAATATCGCTCTGATGTGCGTTTTATGTTCTTGAACATTCTTACTTTTGACTAGAATATCATCTAAATAGGCGGTACCAAACTCAAGGCCTGCCAGCATAGTGTCCATCACCTGTTGAAACAAAGCTGGGGCGACCTTTAAGCCAAAAGGAAGCCTATTTAGCTTTTATGTGTATTTTTACACAAATATTTCGAGCATTCGTCACTCACTTTAATCTGCAAGTATGCGTCAGACAGGTTGATTTTTGAAAAAATCTTCCCACCATTCAATTTTGAAAAAATATCTTCTGGTGAAGGTAGTGGATAACTGTGATTTTTAAGGCAATCATTTAACCTTGTTGAAAAATCTGCGCACACTCTTATTTTTCCGTTTTTCTTAACATAAACTGTGGGTGAGGCCCAATCCGCATGGTCAACCTTAGATATCACTCCCATTTTTTTCAAGCCTTTCCAATTCCTTATTGTCTCTAAGGAGGAAAAAGGAACGTTTCTCTTAGGTTTAAAAATTGGTTTCACATTTTCCTTGAGTTCAAATTTGACTTCCGTCTTAGTACATAAACCCAATCCCTCAGAAAAAAACTCTGGGATATTCTTCTTTTAATTCATTCATGAATTTTTCATTTTTAATACTTTTTTTGTTTTTCTGCACTGTTTATTACGTTGCAAAATGAGTTAATCAGGAGTTCAAACAAATCAAAGAGTACTATCCAGTCTATTCCAAAAGACATGAATTAATCCTTGGATTACATAGACTTTTGTTTTTGCAGTCTTGCCACATAATCTAAATATCGCACTTTAATTCTCCCTTAAAGTTTAATTTCTTTCCTGAAACCCCTCTAGCGGTTTTTTTGGTTTCAGATAATTTAGGTCTTCCAATATTTTTCCATGTTTGTTCATCAATGATGCTTATGTCTGAACCAGAATCCAATAGGAAAGTAATTGTATGATTATTTATCGTACATCACGTACTTTCTATTTTTACTGTTCTGAATTTCTTTTTCTGATAATACCAGGCTTACATCTTGTAATTTCCTTTTCTTGTGGCAAACCGAATATTTATGCCCTTTATTTCCATACGATTGGCAGAATTATTTTTTGTACCAACACGTGTCTTTGGTATGGTTATTTTTTCCACACGTCTCACATTTTTCTATCTTTTTGGCTTTTTGGAGTTTTTTTGAGTTTTACGTGTCGAACATTAGCAACACTTTTTTCCTCAATTTTGTATTATCCCTTTTATGTTTATGAGACGTTGGCATTCTTGGTCACCCTTTGTAATGTTATTTTCGAGTCTTGCTCGACCATTATTAATATTCTCGACCTAATTTCTTTATATTTAGGATCAGTTAGTCCTTGAAGAAAAATTAGGCACTTGAATACATCTTTGGTTATTTCTTCTAACTTGAATTGTTCAACCAGAGAGTTCACTGTTCCCGCGTATGTCACAAAATCCTCGTTATCTGCTTTAACGATGTTTAGGCATCTGTATTGCGTGTGGAACAGATTATTCCTTTCGTCAAATGTTTTTGACAGAATACTTATAGTTTCTTCAAATGAAACTTCTGGCTTTCTGGGCAATATCAAGTTTGAGTACATCCTATTCTCGTTTGTCCCTAGTTTCTGGACTAATAATGTTACTCGTTCCTCATCCGACCAATGTTGACATCTCTTGGTAAATATAGTTTTGAAACGTTTAAAGTATGCTGGAGATGTAATGCCCGAATCAGGTTCATATATAAATGCGGATAATGAATTTGCTATTCCTTCGGCAGAAAAAACAGCATTTTTTCTTTCTCCAGTCACCTGTTTCAGAATTTTTCCAAGACTTTTTTGCTGTTGCAGTATTTGTTGTTGTAAGTCTTGGTGCTGTTGTTGTAACACTTGATGCTGTTGTTGTTGCTGTTGCAAACTTGTACACAGCATTTTAGTCATTTCGACTAATTGCTCCATCCTGACTTTATTTAGAATTCGGAAAAAAAAAAAAAAAAAAAATTTTTTTTTTTATTTTTTTAAATTTTTTTTTAGACGGTTAACAGACAATTTACAGCCGTAATATTTTTACAACCCGTAATTTTTACTTGAATAATCAATTATTAGACCGGCTCGTATTTGAGTCACGGTTCAATATATATTTTTCAATCACAATTTAACAGTAAAAATTTTCTTACTTTTCAAAAAGTTTCCTTTTGCCTTGTGACTCCGCTTTCGAAATCCTAATCGGCGTCAACTGATATCTTTGACTTGCGAATCTGCTTCCGAAATCTGTTCAGTGTAATCTGATATATATATATATATATATATATATATAAATATTTATACAATTTTTTTTTTTTTTTTTTTTTCAGGTAAGTACGTTGAACAATCCTCGCCGCCAACTGTTATATCTCGTGCAAGATATAATAAACAAAGTAACACGAGTGTTGGGTTTCAATAATAGGTTTATAATTGGATGTAGGTGTGTCAAATACAGAGACAGTCGGGAGTATGCTAACCTCAATAGGTGTTAACAAACGAAGACTTCTTGACTGTCCGCTGTGGTCGTACTTAATTGGCAACCAGTCCGTCCATTATCGTGAATGGGGAAGTTGGGTTATATCATCACAACAGAGGTGAATATCCTGAATATGTTTAATGACTTGTGTAAAATCAAAATTAGTGAATGAAATTATTTATTTATTTTTTTTTTTTTTATTTATTTATTTTTTATTGATTTAATTTAGTGAATAATTTAGAATCTCGTAGAACAGCTAATGTAAAATTAGTGAACATAGGTTTTAGCAACACAGTCTAGGCTGTTGACTAGTAATATTTGAAAGAAATAAATGTCAAAGAATTCATTCTCAAATAAATAAATTCATGGACACAAGGGAGGATATGAAAGTGGTAATAACTAGCTTCATGTAACAAAAATTGCTATTTTTATTTCTTTGCAAGGATTCAACTTGTCTTTCTGACAGTGTAAATTCTCTATACTTTAATCTTTTGAAAGTGGTCAAATGATGAATAACCCTGTTTTTGTTTGTTTTTTTTTCCCCTTATAGTGGTGTTTACATCCTTGCATGTTTGAAATTGGTTTAATTTTTATTTTGTCATATTCTCTTTTCAAAGTTGGTTTTACTTTCTCTATAACCAATTACCATTTTTTGGTTTGGGATATTATGTCTACTACCCTAATACTACTACCATTTCTATCATCCTCCTCTAAGAAATTTACTTATACTGAGCCCAAAGTGTACAAAATAGTAGAGCTACTGGAATATCAAGAATGAGATATAGTCTTGAAAGTATCAATCTGAGATCACCTCAGAGATGGTGCAAAATTAGTATGGACCACTCATCAATCTCATCAGTTACAAGTGAAGCAGAATTTCAACTATAGTCAGCAGCTGACAACAATAACATTAGGACTAAGTTATTGTTGAAAACAAGTGACAAACATAACTTAATTCAGTACATCAAAATATATCGGTTGAGAATGCAACGAGAAATCATTAGTTCTAGTCTAAAAATGTATCTCCTTCGACCTGATCTGGACTAAATAATATCAAACAGATGTAATATATTCAGATAATCTGAAACTAATCTGATTACAAGGATTTAACTTTTATCACCCAAGAAGTATAACAACTGATGAAACACAAGATTCACTTGCAGATATAGTAGTTGTAAATGTAACCATTGTTAATAATGAAACAATACAGCACTTCTTGTTTTCTAAATTAGTTAGTTATAAATAAATGCTGTGAAAAGGGTTTATAAATCTAAATGTTCACAAGAATGTTTAAATAAGTACATGCAGATTAAAGATATATTAAGATACTAAGACTTATCTATTTGGCATTAATAAGTCAAATTAAAAGAATTATCAAGCAGAAATAAGTGTGGCAATAGGTATGCTAATTTCTATGAAGGGAATGAGTATCAAGTTTACAGCTTCATTGTAGATATTAAATTTGAGTTTTCTCTTTTTCTTTTGGGCACTCTAAAATTCTAGCTTTGCTGCATATAGACAAGTTTTATTCCACTTATTATTTCTTGTTTATTTTAAGAAACCTTTGATAAGAAAGTGTTTATTTTAGGAATTTACTGTATCTCAAGCTTTAGCAAGTTGATAATGTTAGTCAATTTGTTAGTGTAATTATCTCAATCCTTATCATGTGCCTAATTATTGTAATCTTGTGCCATATTAAACTGTAACTAATCTTTTGGTCTGTCTCAGCTGAAATAGTTGCCTATTTGAGATTGATATGAGAGGTCAGTAGCCCAAGTAAAATTGCAGAAAATACCGATTCCTCTTGGAAGATTAGCACAACACAATCTCCATGTTTCCACTTTGTTTAACTTTGTTAGATTAAATGCTTGCCTCATATATTCTCGTATTTTCAGATGGTTTTATCATTAATTAAAACATCTCATCTTTGTTGATTTTTATCAACATTTTGGCTGATGTATTAAATCTTCCTTTGGTTGCATCCAGTAGTCCTTAAGTGCCAGACATTAGTCAATTTCCTGTCCTTAATAGTGTTCATATAAATAAAATTTCAAGTTGGACTTTAAATAAAAACTTGAGTATGTAAAAGAAAACTGAAATACAATAATAAAACAAAACTATTATGTATCTGAAAAATTAATTAAAGTCAAATTAAAGTTTTGTTAAATTCTTTTATAACCATGCCCAGTATCTTTGACTTCTCATGAACCATGGAACCTTATGTAATAAAATCGTCATATGGGTTGCTAAACAGTTGTGTAGGAATTGAAAAACCTTGTTGAAATCAGTACAGGTCTCAAGAACTTGTATATTAGATTACTTTGATTAAAAAATAATTTTTTTTTTTTTTTTTTTTTTTTTGCAAGCACTTGATCGTCATTCTGCCCGCCTTATTCTGTTGGAGTATTCAGGAAGTGGAAGTATTGAAGAAAATATTTTCTTAGTTGGAAAGGTATTCAATAATCTTTTTCTGTTTGCAATATCATTCTGTACCTTTTTATTTTATTTCATATTTTGAAAATTATTTTTGATTATTTAATCACAATCTGAAATTCTTTTAAATTAGAAAGTTCCTATAGTGGTTCATAGAATAAAAATAAATCTTGTCATTAACAACATTCCATGTCAAGTAAGAAAATGCTGATCAGTTACAAAGATAAAAATTACCAAAACAACTTGTATTATTTACATTATTCAGACTATTGTCCTCATCTTTGTCACCATATTTATTACAATGCTTCGGCCACTGTGCCATGTTTAATGAATGTCTGTTATCTCCTGTTAATTTCCCTCTGAAAGTTCTCTACTGCCTTAAATGGGTATTGAACTCACACTCTTTGGGTCCTGTCACTGGATCTAACCAACGCCTTTATCCACTGTGCCATGTGTCCTCAAGGACACATGGCACAGTGGATAAAGAAATCTTGGAAGTATAGGCAGATACTGAATTTGTATTAATATAATTTTCTCGTAACTGACTTTAATAAATAGTTAAATTGAAATCAGGAGTGTTTTGGTTCAAACTTTCTACATTTTAATGTAAAAGTACCATAAAAATATGTTTGTTAGCCTAATTTATTGTTTTCCTTACAGGGAAAAATTGTTGATGATATCTTATGTTCTGTGGGACATCATATATAAAATAGTCTCTTGTTTATAAAGGGTGTGTCAAAAATACTTTTACAAGCTTTGGGGTAGGTTCCTCACACCAAAACAAAGACAAAAATCCACATAAACATATGTCCATTTTTGAATTATTAAGTTTAAAGAAAGTTTACAGTAGATGGCACTGTGTTACCATGTAAACTCTGTCCATAGTTTGTGGTTCTATGGATCCTGTCTCAGCAATGTGAGAATAAATGGCAGTAAAGTTTGAATGACTTGGCTTTCTTTGGTCTGGAAATGCAATCTGATACAGCTACACAGCCCTAGATAATAATTATATCTGCCTACTGATATGAATATCTTGCCATTGTTAAGTGGAACATTTAGTTAACTTACTGCTAAGCACGTTAAATATTGAAGACAGACTAGCTATGTATGTATACAAATGACAAATGTAACCTAGTCTATATGGTAACACTGTGCCATTTACCATAATCTTTCTTTAAATTTAATAATGGATATGTTTATATGGACTTTTGTTTATTAGTGGATATGTTTATATGGACTTTTGTCCTTGTTTTGGTATGAGAAACCTGCCCCCAAAGTTTGTAACAGTATTTTTGATACACCCTGTATAAACAGGTTTTTGTATGTAAACTGTAAGTTTCTTTTTCCATGTTGAAATGAAAGAAAAGTAGAAAAATATCAATTGAATTCATCTTTTAATTTTTTTTCTCTTTCAATTTTTCATCAGGGTATTACTTATGATACTGGTGGACATGACATTAAGGCTGGTGGTCACATGGCTGGAATGCATAGAGACAAATGTGGGGCTGCTGCTGTAGCTGGGTTCTTCAAGGTCTGTTCTTTTATAAAACATTGTCTTGGATCAGTTTACAAATAAGTGCTCAGTTTGAACTTAACAATATCTTTCTAAATATTTGGAGCTGTTAGAAGAATAAAACTATTCTAGGCTTAAATACCAACTTTGAACTTGAGATTTGTGGCTATCTTTTATAAATTATAAAGTAAAATTTAATATTAAAGTATTAATAGTTGTAGATAAATAATTTATTTTGTTCTGATATTAAATATTTGCATTATATATATATATATATATATATATATATATATATATATATATATATATATAAAAAATCTTTATTACTACCTTTGTTTTGATATTTCTGAATCCAATGGAGTAATTATTTGGTTTCTTACACTCTTACTTTTTAGTTTAAGGTTTTTATTGATAACTGAATTTTATTTCTCCAAAGCAACATAAATTGTTTTTTCCATCTTTAGGTGCTGTCCATTTTGAAACCAAAAGGAATCCATGTATTAGGTTCCATGTCAATGGTTCGCAACAGTGTGGGTCCAGGTATGATTGAAAATCATATTTTCCTCTGGTTGCAAGTGTAAATTTAATTGTTAATCTTTGAGAGCTGGTGCTATCTGAAATGATTTCAAAATGACTTGACTTTTACCTTTACAAAAGTGAATAAACCTTTCTTTGACTATTAGATATAGGCAACTGCTTAACAATCCTTTTTTATTCTTTAAGATTATTCAAGTGAGTACATGATTAAACAGTGACAAATGTTACTGTAGCAGATAAGAGTAAAAAGAATGTAAATGCTACAGTATTAAAGTTTGCTTGTAAATTTATTTGTTTAGTCTATCTGAATTAGCTTTGACCAATGAATATTTGAAGAAAGTTAAATTGGTCTATGAAATATACTGGGATCTATTTCAAATTGTTCTGTATTTTACTTTTGATTAAATATATTGTATTCAGTTATAATTGGCATTTGTGAGGGTATTTGATTTACTGTCATGTGTTTCCTATACAAAGCTCATATTCATTTGTCCATTTGTAGATGGTTATGTGGCAGATGAAATTGTGACATCCCGTGCCAAAGTTCGTGTACGTGTTGGTAACACAGATGCTGAGGGACGAATGGTCATGGCTGATCTCTTGTGCTACATGAAAGAGCAAGTAGGTTTGAATTCTTGACTGATTAAAATGGCTTTAAAAATTTTCAGATTGCCTATACAATAATCCTGAAATAATGTTACATATTGCAAAAGTTAAGTTTACCACATTTAAATTCTCACTTCAAATTAAATAATCTGTTCATAAAATTGTGATTATTTTTTTTTTTTTACGTTACAGTATTTGTTTCCTTAATTACAGTTGCATTGCATATGAATTTGTATGCTCTCATCAAATTATGCTAATAGTGTGCCTGTTGTAGAGCCTTGTGCCAGACTGTCAAGCTTTGTAAAGAGCTGTAATTAAAAGGAAATTTAGATATTTTTATTAGGTTCAGGTTTATTTATGACTAACTTAAAACTGCTCTATTGGGCAGCATTTAAGCTAGCTTCTATAGAGAGCTATTGATTGGGCCTTCATCACAATAGGTAAGGAGGAATAGATGCGATAAACTACAGAACTCAAAATTGATCACTGCATTTAAGTATTACATTAATATTTAAGTTTACTTTTAAAAGTTCAACAATAATTATTCTGCCACCACTTAGACAATTTTATGTACATAAGTCCTTACTTTCCGTACAAACAATTATTTTTATTTAAATGGGTGATTTTCATTGGATTTCGCAATTAATTTTGATTATTCCCAAATTTTTTTCCAAGTTATAAAAATTGTTATTGTACAAAAAAAATCACATAAAAAAATTGCTGAAAACAACTGCAGTAATGAAAACTTGGAAATCCAAAATTTCACAATTACATGTCTGAATCCAGCCCAGAATGTCTTTAATTTGATCATAGTCAGCCCAATTCAAAAATAATGTTAGGCTACGGCCTCTCAGAGTAAAGTTGAAAACATGGACAATTTTATTTTGAAACTGTAATTTGAGAACAGTAGTTTTTCATTTGAAATGACCTATTGAAAGTTAGTTGTGTCCTTTTTAAGTTAAAAAAATTTGACATGCTGACATTTGCATTTATTATATAGAAGATATATTTTGTTATTTTTATCAATTTATTTTTGTATGTGATAATGAAATTGTAATTTTTTTATTTTGAACCTAAATTTTTTTCTTTAAGAAAATAATGCATTTTAGTTGTTAAATTATGCCCACAAATCTAATTTTCTGAAACCAAATCAATGCAAGGTTAAAATAAAAAATCATTTACATTTCTATTTTCGTTTATACTGATTACTGTAGATGTAAAGGTAGAAATATTAGGATCTCTTGTACACTTGATATATTTTCCTTATTTCATTGATAGTCATTTTGATACACTGAATGTCGACAAAAAATTTTATTGAAAAGAGTGTTTCTGAAAATTAAAACAAATATTAAATATTTTATTGGTTTTGTAGGCCTTGAAAGTGAAGAACCCTCAAATCTTCACCATTGCTACACTAACTGGACATGCTGTTTTGGCTATGGGACCTGATTACACTGTAAGTTAAGTAACAATTCTACCTGTTTTAGTTTTCATATACAGGCGCATTTCAGTTACTATGAATAAGGGGTTCTATAAACCATTTGAATTTATATAAGGTAACCAAAATTTCTTTGCCGTATATTATGTCGTGTGAGAAGTGATCACTGATATACAAATGAGTGTCATTTACCATGAAAGTAGTGGATGTGTGGGGGTATTGCTCTTGACCAGTACAGGTGCGTTGTACACGGACAATAGTCAATAGCAGTGTGGGAACTTGGCAGTACCAAAGCGGCTTGTTCAGGATTGTCTGCTTTATGACTTTGGTGAACTTGCTGAATGCTTCCAGGTTTCTAATGAAACAGTCAGACTGCACCACCTGGGGAAGGCATACAAGTTGAGTAAGTGGATACCCCACACACTGTTGGAAGCCAAAAAGTGGCCATTTGTTTCTTGTTTGCTCAGAACTGCAGCATACCTATATTTGATCAAGTGATCACCAGTGATGAAAACTGACTCCTGTATGACACTCTCCAGCATGCCAGATTGTCACCATAGAACTCTGTACCTCACACCACATGACCACTCACACAAGATCACGCTCTGAATTTGGTGCACTATGAGCTGCTACCAACTGGCCAAACCATCACTGTGGACCTGTACACTCAGTAGTTGGAATGTGCGCAACAAATACTGAAGTAGAATGGACCAGCATTAGTTAATTGCAAGGGTGTATTGTTCCTCCATGATGATGCCACCACTCATCTGGTGCAGGTGGCCAGGGATACCATATGGCTACTTGGCTGGGAGACACTATGCCATCCACCATACTCCCCGGACCTTGCAGCAGGCACTTTGCAGATTTTGTATCCAAGACACCTGATTTTTACTGCCAGGGTATTGCACAGCTGGAGACATGGCAGACTATAAATGATAGGGATTTGAGCATTAATGGCATGTCAAATTTACTGTATACTTTTTTCCTCCCCAATAGATCAAAAGCAGAAAGGACTTTTTGGTTATCTTATACTGTTTGAAACTATTTATTGTAGAGAAAATAATTCATTCCATCCTTTTTGAAAATTTACAGTAAAATCTGATTTCAATATTTTTAACTTATAATGTGAAAGGCTGATGGAACAATTATACTTTTAGTTTGTTTATTTTTTTAAATTTTTATTTTTTTTTTATTTTCCTTATTCAAGGCAATCATGGATAATGGTCCAGCCAAGAAGAGGCAAATTTCCTTAAGACTGCAAGAAGCTGGTGATTTGATAGGAGATCCTTTTGAAATTTCTAACATTCGCCGTGAGGTAAATTAGATGTTTTTAGTCTTTTCAATGATTTTAAGATGAATTTGGAAATATACATTCTTGTCTATGAGATAAATTAGCAATGAAATATCATTTTATTAGATAAAGGAAAATGTGATATATATATATGTACACAAAACTTTTTCAATTGAACATTGATGTACGAGCATAGTTATTTTCTACTCTTTATGCATATCTAGTCTTGAAGATATAATTTTTTTATGTAAATATATAACTGTCAATGTCAATTTGTATGTGTAATCCCTCACCTTTTAAGGATGTAAGTGACATTGGCTCTTGGTCGTTTCTTGCTTGCAACAATATTTTCTTTTATGGTCCTTCTTTCTCTTATGTAAATGGATGAACAACACTGTTACTATTTTTCTCTACTTCTCTTTCCTTTAATGTGTCTTGTGAATGTTAAATTCTCCAGGTTTTTTTTCTCATGTCTCCAAAATTTCAGTCATTTTAGATTTGTCCATGGTATTCTCAACATTCATTGGTAGATTGGAGAGTAAACATCATATAGAAGTCTAGTACACCATGTATTCCATCTACTCCAATTAATGGCCAGTTCTTGCTTTTTTCAACTAACTTATCTAATAGTTCTTTCAGTTTTTGTTTTTTCTCAATCTGCTGCATAGAGTATAGTCTTGCTGTACAGTTTAAAATCTGGTGAAAAAAATCTTTGCTACATGTCTCTTTATTTGATGTAACTGTTTCATTGACTAACAGAAATTCACAACATTTTCTACCATAATCTAAATTGTTATATAGTCAACCAAAAATGGTGAAGAATTGAAAAAAAATTTAATTTCTGAAACTCTTTATTCCTGTCCAGATTCTTTCTTTGTGTTTTCTGTGACTTTTGAAGTGTGATTTGTATTGACTGATTAAGATTTTGCTGATACAAATGTTATTCAGGATTATGATTTCCACAAAGGCAAGTCTGAATATGAAGATGTCTTGCAATGTAATAACCTCCCATCAAGCCAGACTCCTCGTGGACATCAAACACCATCAGCTTTTCTTATTATGGCATCTGGTATGGACAAAGTAAGTTATTACTTCTTTTCTTGCTTTTGTCTTCCTTTGGGAAAGAGTTGGAGGCAACAACATAGCCATAATTTATTACTCTTTTTTGATATGACCATGCTACTCTCCATAATTAGAAATTCAGACACTGCACCATTTTTATTTAAAATTTCTTTGGATAGAGTGGATGTAAGGGAAATAAAACCTGTAATCATGGAACATTTTTAAGTTTATTTTATGAAAACTCTGCCACCACTGGTTTGAAATTTCTGTCTGTGTAATTTTAAAGCAAATCAGGTAACTAGTTTCCAAAGTTTAAGGTAAATTGATTTTAAAATGTCTGTCCAAGGAAACAGATTCAGGTGTTATTAACTGTTAGTTTTTTGTTTTGTTATCAAAATGGAAAACCACTGTGAGTAAATAAGGAAAATTCTTGAACTCATTATTATTATTATTATTATTATTATTTCCCAGCATGGTATTGATTCCAACAAGCCGATTCCATACTCTCACATTGATGTGGCTGGATCAAGTGGCCCATTCCCTGGAGTACCAACTGGATCTCCTGTGCTGTCTTTGTCTTATCATTATGTTTTGCCACGTCTTTAACTTTACATTCCTTAACTTTGTGGTACATAAAACAATCCTAAAATTTAAACATTTTGATCAATTAATTTTCTGAAATATCTTTTTGAAAGTCTTTGAAATAAATAATAGATTTTTTTTTTTTTTTTTTAATGATTCTCATTAAATTTTAACCATCTAAAAAGTATATTTTTGTTATTGTGAATTTTTAAGCCTATCCACTTCGTTAGTGAACAATAAGCTTGACTGGTAATCAGAAAGAAAAATTCTGTATCCTTTGAATAAAGTTTTATAAATTGTAATATCTTGACTGTTCTCATTATTATTTTTTTGTGTGTAAAATATATTTTATTATAAAAGATTTTAATAAAAACCACGTTGAAATTGCTACACAAAAGCTTTCAATACTTTGATTGTACTTAAGATGATGGCAAGTAATTGTTGATTAAATGATTTTTAAGAAAATTTAAGAACGAATTGTTACCTCTTTCGAGTGTGGGGGGGAATAAGGTCAAAATTTTAAATTAGACTTCTGGGTATGTCTTAAGCAATTAAATGTCAGATCTATGCTAAATAGAAAAGTAAGCTCAGAGGGTGGAGGTGGGTGAGTTTTTTTTCATGTGATGATAAACTGGAACATAGACCAGCCAGCATTGGCGATTGTGGAAAATGTCAGTGACAAATGTATCGTGATTGTAGACATATATGGCATAATCAATTTTTTGAAAGGAGGGGTAGGTTAATTGGATGTAAAGTTAACAGAAAAATTTTTTAAAAATTCAGGCAGCTTTTTAAAGGGACCTGTAGATAAAATTAAGAATGTGCAAGATCTATATAAGATATTAATAATACTAACTGGATGTTAATACATACCAATATTAAAGCTGAATAAACAAAATAAGGTACATAACCATAGAGGGTGAACCATTACATACTCATAAATTATGGCTATAATAAATTGTAATCCTAATTTTTTTAAAAACTTAACTATATTTCAAAGTAAAAGATAAACTGTATCGGCAATTTACCATTAATTCACTCCCCTGGTTCAATAGGGATTTTTTGTCAGTAAATTTGGTTGTCTTTAATTTTTCATGTAAACATAAGAAGCATGGTTCATTTAAAGATTTACAAGTTCTAGTTTATTTTGTCTTTTTTTATTATTTTTATATATATATATATATATATATCTTTTTAAGTGTTTTCCATTTTCCCATAGGGGTTTTATTTACTTCTTTTAAGTTCCAAAAATATTTAGAAAAGGGTGTCCTATTTCTGTATGCGTTATTGGAGAAAGATAATATATGTTGATGCCACCTAGTTTTAAAGGAATTCTTGGTACTTCCAACATAAAATTTTTTGACTGTTGGATTTTCTATAGTGGAAATAGTGTTGAGGTAAACAAGAGTCTGTTTGACATCTGTTTTGCAGTGGACATTCATTAGAATTTCTACAATTACACTTGGTAGTATCTGCATTTGTTACTTTGGAATAGCAATTACTACTCAGGTTTTTGTATTGATTTAAAAAATTTTTTTTTTTTTCTTTTTAATAATTTTTTTCAGATTATTGGCACAGCTATAGCTTAGTTTTAGTGTATTTCTGTTAAAAATCTTACTAAGTGGATTTTTCTCAGGAAGTGTTTCTCAGTTGAATGGAGACACTTCTGCCCTAACTTAGTACTAACCTTTGGTTAAATGTGTGAGACTACCCACCTCTGCACTCGTTGCACAAGATATAGACCCCACGTCATAGAATTTCTGTGTGGTGGATCGAGCTTAAAGGCAGGTTCACATGCAAAAGAAAAACACAACTACAAACTTGGGTAGAACGAAAAGGGAGGAGGGCGTGTGACCTTTTTGTGGATAGTTAACTCTGGGCTGATTCTCGGCTGGCAAAAAAAAAATATATCCTAACTAACAATGTCCGGCTGCTAGGGTGTCGCTCTTCGTTGCTACTTGCTACGGCCTGAATCCCTTCCTCGAACCTAAACTAAGTCTGCCACTAACCCAAGCATTCCCGTATATATATATATATATATATATATATATATATGAGAGAGAGACCTCTGTCATCATTTCCGGGGAAGGGACACCCACAAATAAACCCATAACTTTTTCATGGCCATTTCTCCCTTTGAAGAAAAGTGGACATAAAAATATTTTTTAGCCTAGCTGACTCCGATTCAGGGACATTAAATTCTGACCCTTTTAAGTTTTTACCAGAGCCAGTCTTTTAACTATCAAGTACTTAACACTTATCTACCCTTTTGGCCATATGTCCAAAACATGTTTTTTTATCTAGATTCCTAATCTAGTCATTGGGTCTTGAAGTTTGATACCCAGATCAAATCTAACTAAAGAAAAAAATATATGTATGTGAAATGCACACGCACGCACACACAGATGTGGGTGTATATATACACACACGCACACACAGATTGAGTTCAATAATGTTTCAGCGCATATATCCAACTCATAGTGTCACAAATGGGGGTGTGTACCAAATTATTTTTCTGCTTCTATTTTTATTCCTACTATCGCTGTTGTTATAGTTTATATATTTGATGTCAGGGCACTTATAGCCACTATTTTTTAAGGTAGTATTATAAAATTTACTATTCTTATAAAAAACATCTTCGTTGGAAGAGTTATTGCTAATCCTATATTCTATGGAGGAGGGTATGTGTTTGATTATGGATTTAGGATGGTTAGAATTTGAGTGGATGTATATTGGATTGGCATTTGTTTTCATGTAGGGTTGGAATACATTAACTAGGTCAAATGTAACATTAAGGAAATTTTTTTTTTTTTTTTTTTTTTTTTTTTAAAATCTTAACTTTAAGATTGGGACTTAAAATCTCTATGTAGTAATTTCCTGATTTTGTTAGCTTTAATTTTTGTGGAATTTTTCACCACTATAAGGCCATCATCTCTATCTAACCCTATATTATCAATGTTGATATCTTGCAGGGCACTAAGATTATATAAGATAAATAAACCAACAAGATTGGAAGACTCAGCAGAGTTTAACGAACTGATGTTTTGTCTAAAATTTTATTCTTATGAAAAATAATTGAAAAATTTTAATTATTCAAAATTAAAGTTTTCTAGGATTCTTAATAACCATGTTTAAAGTCACTAATAGCACATGATTTTCTTGGACAATATATTTAAGGCTTTTCATTTTTAGGGGATGGGTGGGAGATAGCTGCAAGACAGAACAAGATAACTTAATCAGCACATCCTTTCAAAGCTTGAAAACTATTGCAGAACTGATTCAAAGATGATCAAAAATAAAAATACTGAATGTTGGATAATGATTGTAACCTACATTGTAACATATTTCATACTCCTCTCACTATGGAATTCAATTGATGCAAACATGAAATACTGGGCATTGATGGAATTTTTTTTTTTTTTCACATTAATACCTCCTTCACTGAGATCAAAGGATTCAATTATTTCTTTCAATTGATGCAGTTATGGGGAAAATCTGAAAAAAAAATTCTTTCTGGGAAAGAATTCTGAAATTTTGGAACATGCAAGTTGTACAAAAAAAAAATGATTATGCAATAGAAATGGTAACTACAGCCTCTTTCTCGATCATTGCATATCTACTTGTGATGACCATCAAATAGTTTGATATATTATTTTAACAAAGTGAAGCAAGAATAAATATGCAGAGAGTGAGAGATCATGTAGAAAAGAGAATGAAATGAATCCATTTTTTTCACCTTAACCATTAGCAGAAACTTCTATTAATCATTTGCAATTGAGTTGTAGAACTTCAGTGATCAAAATTCCCATCGTATAAAGTTAATAAAAGTTTAATTCAATTTTAATGTCTTATAGATATTGGCTTAAGTCAAATTGCAGAAAATGAGATGGGGAAACTATAATGTTCATCTTAAAACGGAAGTTTTCTCTGAAATTCAGTATTTGAACTTTGGCTACTGGAAAATGCACTACTACTTTGGTCATCACAGCTGGTGAAATGAATAAGATATGCTATTTTAACAAAGTGAATGGTTAGTGGAAGTTGTTTAATAATGTTATTTTTTTCTCAATGGTATTTGATGAAAACAAGTGATAGAATAAGAAATAAATGTGATAGTGAACTGATATAAGGTCATGGCAAGTTATGATGTTAGTAAGAATTCACTTGTAAGTCAGCCATGACCTCATATCATTGGTAAGCATTTAACCTGAAGCTGGTAGTGATGAAAAACATTGTAATAGATGAGGACTAGTACTGACATAATCATTTTCTCATCAGATTCAAATGGCGAACAGCTTGACATTGTTGAAACTGCTGCCAATTTTGGTATCCAGCTGTATTCTTATTTTAAAGGAGTTACACATTTTTTATCTTCGCAGTGATTCTGTTGTCAAAAGAGACATCTTAATTCAATAAATAATTATTTAGAAAATATGTTAATGGCTACAAGATCAATATTTACTTTGCCTTGCTGATGATCTGCACTTTGCAGTCAGTTTGTTGCTCCATTTAAATATTTAAAGTCAGTTTTCCTACTATATTCTATGCACACACACATGATAAAAATGCAGATATTTTGACACTCAAACAAATATTTCCAACACTTTATGTTGATTTTTTTTTTTTTTTTTTTTTTATGTTTCCATGTCATTTGTGACTTAAAGTACAGCACAGCAAAACTTAACTTTTTGCTAGAAATACATATTAAGATCAAACTCTCCCTAAGCCCCTACAATTATCATTCCTTCTGCTTTTTGTTTGATTCTACACTATTTTGTAATCTTTTGCATGAACATGATCTGGAGTGCATGCTCTCTAGTAATGGTTACAAGAACATTGTTGGTGAATTTTATCCTCTCATTATTGTGGCCATGTGCCAGATTAAGCATAATATTAAATAGTAACATTTATACATTCTAAGCTATGATGTAGGTGCAACATTTAGTCAATAAGATTAGTATTTAGTGTTTCTGTTTTAAAATTAAAATAGATTGTTGATGTGCTGACTTTCTCAAGAGCAGTTA